AAATTTTTTAATTTTTTTTTTTAAAATATTTAATTTTTTTTTTTTTTTCAAAAAAAATTTTCTTTTTTTTCTTTTCTTTTTTATTTTTTTTAAATTTTTTTTATTTTCATTTCAATTCTTTAATTTTTTTTTTTTATAATTTTTTTCTTTTTAATGAAATTTTTATTCTTTTTGTTTTATTCCAAATTATTAAAATAAATATCTAAAAAAAATTTGAAAAAAAAGAAAAACATAAACATATTTTTTTTCTTTTTTTTGAAAAAAAATCCTTAAAAAATTTGTTGTTTTTAAATTTAAAAAATAAAATTAAATTAACCCATTTTTTTAAATATAATTAATGATTTTTTTTTTTTTTTTTAATTTTTTTTTAAGTTCATTTTTTATAAAACAAAAATTAAATAATTAAAACCAAAAAATTAAAAAAATCAATATTTAATTTTTAAAAATATTTTTTAATTAAAAATAATCATTTAAATAAAATAAAATTATTTTTTTATTTTTTTTTTTTTAATTCAATTTTTTTTTTTGATAAATCTTCTTTTAATAATACATGAGATAACAAAATTTATTTGTTACATGAACAAAAAACATGGCAAATATACAATAAAACATTTCCACAAATTTTACAAAAATAAAAATACATATATATATATTATTTCCAAAATTAAAATTGGTAAATTTAAAAAAAAGTTTTTTTAAAAATATACAAATTGAAAGATTTGTTCACTATGAAAGTATTTTTAAAATAAAAAAATAAAAACATTTTTTTTTTAATTTTACTATTTATTTTAAAATCATTTTTTTATATATATATATATATATATATATATATATTTATATATATATTTAGTTTTTTTTTATTTTTTTCATTTATTTTTTTTTTTTAAATTTTTTCAAAATTTCTAAAAAAACATATATTTACAAATTATTTTTTTTTATTTTTTCAATTTTTAAATTTAAATACAAAAAATCTCATTGCATATACTTAATAAATTAATTTTATTTTATATATTTTTTAAAATAGAAAAATGAAAAAATTTTTTTAAATATTTTTTTGATTAAAAAAATTAAAATTTTTTAAAAAATATGATAATTCTTTATTGCATTTATATTTTAAAATTTTTTTATTTTTACCTTACTGAAAAAATAGAAATTAATAAAAAAAAATTAAAATGTTAAAAAAAATGTTTAATTTTAAAATTTTATTTAAAAATATTATTTTTAACAAAAAAAAGGAAATAACAATAAATCTTTTAATAATAAATATTTTATATAAAATAATATATATATATATATATATATGAATAAATAATATTTATATATATATAAAATATCATTATATTTATATTTTATATAAATATATATAAAATAAATAGAAATGAATATTTTAATTAATAAAAATTATAAATATACAACATAATATATATATAATATATATATTAATTTATATTTTTAAAAATTTTAATTTAAATCAAATGAAAATGTATTAAAAAATTAAATTTGAAATTAAAATGAAATAAATCACAATGAAATATATTTTTTTTTTTTAAAGTTTTTTTTTTTTTTTTTTTATTTTAAAATTTTATTTTATTTAATTTTTTTTCAATCCATGTAAAATTTTATTTAATGTGACATTTATATGGAAAATAATTTAAATTCCATTTGAAATTTTTTTAAAAATTTTGAAAAATATATTTACTATATCTTATGAATTAACAGTTTTTCAAAAATTTTTTGTTTTCATTTACAAAATAATTTTAAAAAAAACAATTTTAAAAAAAAAAATTAAATAATAAACAAAATAATAAATTTAATCAAAAAAGTAAAAATAAAATTTTTTTATTTTTTTAATTTTAAAATTTTAATTTTTAAAAATTCAGGAATTTCCGAATAAAAAATGATAGGTAAAATAAAATTAAATTAGAAAATATATCAAACCATAAAAATGAAATATTATATTAATTGAAAAATTTTGAATTAATAATTTATTAAAAAAAACGGAAAAATATTTATTTTAAAAAAAATATATAATAAAAATTCTTTATTTAAAATTTTATTTTTATATTAGAATAAATAAATTGAATGGCAAATGTTTCAACAAATAATATATATAAATATTTAAATTTATAAATAGGTATTTTACAAAAAATTATTTTATATAAAATATATATATATATATAATATCTATTTAAAAATTATGAAAAAGAATTTCAATCAAAAATTATTTTCAAGATATTTTATCAAATTTAAATATTTTTTTAGAATTTAAAAAAAATCTTTAAAATTAATTTTTCAAAAATAAAAAAAATATTAATTAATTTTTTTTGTTTTTTTAAAAAATAGAAATTAAAATATTTTTATTTTCAAAATTTTTTAAATTTAATCCTATAATATAATAAATAAAAATATAATTTAAAATTTAATACGATTTATCGAATTTACATTTTGTTTATTTTTGGGAATTAAATTTATAAAAAAAATTTTCATAAAATTTTAAAAAACTGAAAAATTAACCAATCAAAAAATGATCATAAAAATATATTATATTTTATTAAAATATCCAAATTAAAAAAAAATTAAAATACATTTTAATACACATAAAATAAAAAATAAATATATATATATATATATATATATATATATATATATATATATATATATATATATATATATATATATATATATATATACATGAATTATTCACACAAAACTAACAAAAGGTTAATTTTAAATGGCGAGACATCCATCATTTAAAAAAATAAAAATAATATATAAAAAACCTCCAGAAATGTTAAAATGAATTGATTTTTTTTATATAAATTTCTGCCGTATTAGTTGTTGTTTTTTACTACAATCTTTCGTCTAAAATACAGACATCTTCAGGTATAGAATAGATGTTGTTCTTTTTTTTTTTCTCTTAGTAATAAGAGGACAACGAAAAAAAATATATTCAATGTTGTATCCGAAAATGCTATTTAAAATGAGTTATTGTAAAAAAATATCGCCAAAAAAACGCTGTTAGTTTTGATTTTAATTTTTTAAATGTTAATATTTTATATAAAAATATCAATTGATGATAATAATAAATTTTTATATATATTTTTTTTTCTGTAAAAGTGGCATGAACTATATTGTTCAATAATTACAGTAAATGTTTTTTTTATTATCCAAAATATATATATATATATATATATATATATATATATTTTATATATATATAAATATGCAATCAATTTACAAATACATGAATTATTCACACAAAACTAATGCAAAGGTTAATGATTTAAATGGCGAGACATCCATCATCGCAAACAATTCAAATAGTATAAAAAAACCTCCAGATCCGTTATGAATGAATTGATCCTTGTTTATATAAATTTCTGCCGTATTAGTTGTTATTTTTACTACAAGCTTTCGTCTGTTCCTACAGACATCTTCAGGTATATAATAGATGTTGTTCTTGTTTTTTTTCTCTTAGTAATAAGAGGACAACGAAAATATATGTGTTGTTGTATCCGAAAATGCTATTGAAAAAATGAGTTATTGGTTTTTGGAACGCGCCAAAGCAACGCTGAGTTTGATTTTAAATTTTTTTTTTGTTTATGTTTATATATAAATATGGTGATGAACAAATTTTTTTACTGGTAAATTTCTCTGTCAAAGTGGCATGAACTATATTGTTCAATAATTACAGTAATGTCGCACTTATTATCCAAAAGTCGCACTTGGATCAGTTATTTAAATTACAATAAACGTGCAATCAATTTACAAATACATGAATTATTCACACAAACAATAATGCAAAGGTTAATGATTTAAATGGCGAGACATCCATCATCGCAAACAATTCAAATAATATACAAAAACCTCCAGATCCGTTATGAATGAATTGATCCTTGTTTATATAAATTTCTGCCGTATTAGTTGTTCTTTTTTTACTACAAGCTTTCGTCTGTTCCTACAGACATCTTCAGGTATAGAATAGATGTTGTTCTTGTTTTTTCTCTTAGTAATAAGAGGACAACGAAAAAATATATGTATTGTTGTATCCGAAAATGCTATTGAAAATGAGTTATTGTTTTGGAACGCGCCAAAGCAACGCTGAGTTTGATTTTTAATTTTTTAAAGTGTTTGCGTTTATACCAAATATGGTGATGAACAAATTTTTTTACTGGTAAATTTTTTTCTGTCGAAGTGGCATGAACTATATTGTTCAATAATTACAGTAATGTTGCACTTATTATCCAAAAGTATATACTTGGATCAGTTATTTAAATTACGATAAACGTGCAATCAATTTACAAATACATGAATTATTCACACAAAACTAATGCAAAGGTTAATGATTTAAATGGCGAGACATCCATCATCGCAAACAATTCAAATAGTATACAAAAACCTCCAGATCCGTTATGAATGAATTGATCCTTGTTTATATAAATTTCTGCCGTATTAGTCGTTATTTTTACTACAAGTTTTCGTCTGTTCCTACAGACATCTTCAGGTATAGAATAGATGTTGTTCTTGTTTTTTCTCTTAGTAATAAGAGGACAACGAAAATATATGTGTTGTTGTATCCGAAAATGCTATTGAAAATGAGTTATTGGTTTTGGAACGCGCCAAAGCAACGCTGAGTTTGATTTTAAATTTTTAAAGTTCTTCGTTTATACCAAATATGGATGAATGAATTTTTTTTTTGGCAGAAATTTAGTCTCGCCATAAAAAATCATTAACCTTTGCATTATTTTTTGTGTGAATAATTCATGTATTTGTAAATTGATTGAACGTTTATCTTAATATATATATATATATATATATATATATATATATATATATATATATATATATATAATGTATCTAAAAGCATAAAATGATAAGAAAAATATCTGTAGTTGAAGGTATAAATTAAACGTAAAAATATTAAGATTGATTTCGGCATTAAATAATCTATAGAGGTTAAAATGCCGCTTAACAGAAACAACCAAACATTCAATCAGCTACGGTCCCGTACGATCACCGATGTTAAGCAATGTTGATCCTGGTCAGTACCTAGATGGGTGATCGCTTGGGAATATCAGATGCTGTAATCTTGGATGTGTGCGGTTGGTATAAGAGGCTTACGGCCATATCACGTCGAAACATCGGTCCCCGTACGATCACCGAAGTTAAGCAACGTCGAGCCTGGTTTGTATCTAAATGGGTAAGCGCCCGGGAATATTAAGTGCAGTGCTGTGCACATGATCGAATGGATAATGAATTGTAAGGAATTGTTAACAGATGAGCCGACCTCAAATTCCAGTCGCATTCTTTATATTCACTTAAGCGTACCTTTGGAAAGGTATGGCTTCACCACTTTTCCTCCCAGATATGGGTTAATTAGTAAGACTTGCGTCATTAAATCATGAATCTCTCCAACAACAACAACAACAAAAAATAATAAAATCTAAGAAAAAATGCCTGGATTTAAATACCATTCACAATGTTAATAAGCCGTAGAAACCAAATTTTGTGTGTTATCTCCTTCTTATATTTACTCGTCTTTCCATCTATATACACATGCTTCTCACTTGTGGAACTCTCTACCGGCTTTAAAAAGTTAAATGAAAAAGTTTATATTCTGTTTTATTAAATCCTGTTCTTTATTTTTCTCTCTCATTAATAAAGTTTTATTTTTCTCATATTCACTCAGACACAATAACCGTTGCTTTATTGACTACTAGCATTAGAGCCCGGCGTTGCCCGGGAATGTAACATTAAGAGATAGATCAAGTATCGACCATCATGAAGACTGAAAAATAAAATTGACAAAGATTATTGTTTAAGGTTGACGGACAGGCATGTCTTATTAATTTTTTTTTTTTTTTTTTTTTTTTTGTAAATTGGTCAAACTCAAACAAATTGTTTTCACTTTTTCAATGTCTATCGATTGAATAGAATTTTATTATAAACAATTGTCTTTTAAATGGAATTTTAAAGCATTCTGAATGTAAAAAAAAAAAAAAAAAGTGTGCAAGACAATAAGAAACACTACCTGCCAAAAAAATTTTTTTTTGTTGAAATCGGTTGAAAAAATTTAGAAAATCCGATCCCATATATAAACGACACACACACACACACACACACACACACACACACACACACACACAAAACCTGGGTTTTATAATAAGTATAACTCGATATGAATTGTCCCCCCTTTCATTCTCGCGATGCCTCTTAATCGTGTTTTGAAATTGATTTCGTGCAAAAACAATTGTGTTTTTTTTTGGCGCTGTCAGAACCACCGCAAGGTAATTTTACGTAGTCCGGTGAAGTTTTGTTGAAATCGGTTGAAAAATGTAGGAAATCCGATCCAATATATAAACGGACAGATACACACACACACACACACACACACACACACAACCTGGGTTTTATAATAAGTATGATTACTGTCACGTCTGGTCTGCTGCTTTTGCTATACAAAGAAGAATCTGCAATGTTCTTAGTCCGGATCTGGCACCTCGGCTTCATTCACTTTTCTACTCTCATAACATATCTTCCATGTGACAATTTTGTAAATATTTCATCTGTCCCTATTTCTGAGATGAGGAATTGTAAGTATTTGCACTATGTAGACTTATTCGGACTTTTGTCCTCCCATTTATTATTATATTCACGACGTTTCGACAATTGCACACTAGGGCTTTTTTCAGGTGATATCTTTGGGAATAGGGTAAATATTTTTTATGGTACCAAGACTTTATGAATTTAAGCGCTTTACTAGATTTACTGCAAGGTCTCATTCTTTTCAGTTGAAATGGCAAGAGATGTAACCGTAAGTTCTATGCTAAGAGTTTCTTCTCTCACAAATCTCTCTTGTTGCAATATTCTTCCGGCTTATTATTGCTTTCCAAGTGAACGCAAAAATTTAAACCTGATGTCAATCGTTTTTTTCTTAATCGTTATCTTCTTAATTGCTCTTTCTCCTTGATAATGTCTTTTCTTTTCTTCATATTATCTCAATCTTAGTAAGACCTTCCGTCTTAGCGGCTTTATTGCCTTACTTGTTGTGAGAGGATTTTTTTTTCCTTTCATTTTCTTCATTATGTTTTGTGAGTGTGAAATTCTCCAAGCCGTTTGGCCTTATTATACTGTCCCAGAAATATATATTGTCTGTTTGTTAAGTGAAATTGCTTGTGGAAAGTTTATTTATATATATATAAGCCCCTATAGTGGATAGTTTGGCTTGAAATTACCTCAACTGCTGAAGAGGTTAATATTGCTAATTCTTCCTTTATATGTAATCCATATATAATTTATATATTAAATGAAATTTATTATTAAGAATTTAGTTTTTAAATAATTTATATTAATGTATTAAATATTTTATTTTATTAATAATTAAAATTAATAGGATTATTAATAAATTAAACTAATTTACATATTAAATTATAATCTTTATATAATTTGCGATGTGTATATTTTATTTTCGCGCATGCGTGTTTGTTTGTTTTTGATTTTGTGGATTGCACAGTATATTAGGGTCAGTCTTTGAGAAAAAGAGCACTATAACGTAATTGACTCCGCCAGATATTTAGTAAAGGCATGCTGTATTGCCTGGCATTTGCACTGAAAGCTCCAATACGAACATTTCAGTGTGTTTGGTTGTTAGTCTGTTAACAGTGTAGAGCATTCAGAAAGACATGGTGATTACGAAGGTGTTTGGAGTAATTCCTAGTGATGGCGACGTTATGGCTCTATTCTTCTTCCAACAAGCCATTCAACTCAATACGGAGGTCGACATCAATGCTTTGAGGAGAGTGCTACCCCGGGTCAAGAGGGTGGCCGCTGGAAGACCCTATATCTGACAACAGGACTCTACACCATGTCAGACAAACAGGAGAATCAATTAGGGCTGTCAGATAATTTCTGCGACCACATCAACCCTTACATTTGTCCACCTAATTCCCTAGACTGCAACTCCCATGATCATTATGTGTGGTGCGCAGTTGAGCCAGAGACCAAGAAAACTCCTTGTAACAGCAAAGATGAACTGAAGGCAAGGAGGATGACAGCATTCACCAGCTTCAACAACGAGACCGTTCGGAAGAAATGGAGGAGATTCCGAAATTGTCTGGCGACTGTGGTTGAAGCCAATGCCAATTTTATAGAAAAAAAATATTCTTTAGTATTTCAAGATATTTTTGTGTAATTTTGGTAAATATATCTGTTAAAAGGCGATGTCAGTGCCATTTTCAATTTTGTATAATTTAAACGACAATTTTTCCATCGCAACCTGAAAATATTATCCTTCGTTTATATATATCCTTCTCAGTTTTTATTCAATTTTTACAATCAAAACATGACGTAGATTAAAAGGGGATATGATTTACATCTCTTGATCTTGTTTTTTGCTAGTTTTAGAGTTGTTGTTTTTTTCTATTTTTAATATTTTTATATGGTATTAATTACTTTAGAAATTCCAATAATCAGTTGTAACAACCGTTCCGAGGTGAAATTGCTTTATGGACAACTAAATTATTATCGTGGGCTCCCAATGTACTATTTGGCGGGGGGGGGGCGTGTGGACTCCTAGCATTGCTAGATTGACCCCAGTGAAGAACCACTGATTTAGATAGAAAAAAAGAGTTCTTCAGTTTAAACTGACGCCTTGTTTATTCCATGGAGTAGGAATATTTTGCTTAAAGTTCATTTTCGACTGAAGATCTTGAAATTTTCCAGCATATATCTGTGATATTCTCCAAATTTTATAATTTAGAATTATAGTTTTTGTATCGGAAAATGAGTAGGAGTCATTTTAATCTGCCGCCTGAAGATAGGGGTTAAACAAACAATAATTTCACCAGAGAATTATTATCTGAATTTAGATAAACAAATTTAAAAAAAAAAAACCCCAAAAAACTCCTGTGTTCCAAACAAGAATAGATTGATTTCGCGCTGATATGACACTTGTCACAATAAAATCAAATGATATTTTTTGAGGGAAATTATTTAAAACAGGTGGCGAACTGCTTGGTTTCAGGATCATGGAAATGCCAATAATAAAATGATCGTAAAATGTTTTATACAAAATAAACTACTGACTTTATTTTAAAATTGTGTTGCAAGCAAATCTGACGTCGCCAAGGTTTCTTGTTTGATTCACAAAGCTTAATAAAAGGAACATTAAAAACAAACAATTTCCATCAGTATTTTATTCTCTGTTGGTGTCATAGTAAAAAAAAAAAGGAATTTGAAGTATATATAAATAAAATGCCGATATAACATGCGCAGATGAAACTGCGGGGATTCCTAGATATTGTAGTAAAGGAAAGTGAGAAGAAAAGACGTACCATTAACTGGAAGGAGACAGATTATATAGTTGTCAACAAGAGGTGTGATCACGGAATTTTCGAAATCTGAATCAAGTTACAGAAGTTTAACTTGTGATTGTAAAAATAAAATGTAAAATAAAATAAAATATGAAAAAAAAAAAAAAATTAGAGTGGGACCTTGGTTCACGAATTTAATTCATTCCCGTTCGTAACCCGAAATGTTCGTAAACTGAAACTATTTTTCCAATAGGAATCAATGTAAAATGGATTAATCCGTTCCTGGTCCGTTCCTGATTGCTTATTTAAACTTTAACAACAGTACTTTGTGCACATGTTTATACAAAAAAAAAAAAAAAAAAAAACTCATGAAAATCATTAAATCTAAGAAAAAAATAAACCCAATACCAAACCGATAAAATATAGACGAACATTCAATTTTACCGAACCTGCATGAAGGAGAGTTAATAGCGTAAGTGGAAGGTGGTGTGGAAGGGGAACGAAAAAGATGTTATTGTTTGGAAAAGGGGGAGGAAAGACATGATCGTCTCTTTATTTATAAGAAAGGTATAGATCGTTGATTTTACCATATGAAACTAAGTAGATATAGTTATCCTCAACAATTGTTTTTCTCTTAACTTTTCTTTTTTCTTTACTAGTATCACTGCTAACGTTCTTTGGAGCCATGACTGACAACTAATAAAGAGAAATAAAAAGGCACACTACAATAATATTGGTAAAGAAAAGCACAGCACAATACAGGAATATATACAACCCCGCAGTCGACTAAAAAATGATTCCGTTTGGGTTAACTCGGTTCGGCAATGTTGTTCGAGAACCGAAATTTTGTTTGATAATCGAGGCATTTTCATCTCGAATATTCTGTTCGAAATCCGATTTGTTCGACATGTTGGAA